TACAAAGTCGCCCCGACCCTCGATGATCTACCTCTGCGTGGCGACGGTTGCGAGACGGTCTCGTGTGTGGTCGGATCATGCTCGGATCATGGGCGGATCATGCTCGGATCGGTTCCGCATTGTAAATGGGGTTTCAACTGTGTTTCGTCCATGTGCGGCCGACAGAATTCCATTGTGATTTGCAACTGTAGGATCGTTCCCGCAATGTAAATGGGATTGCAAGTGGTGCTGGTGGATGAGTTGCCGATGGAATTCCATTGTGATTTGCAACTGCAGGATCCTTCCCGCAATGTAAATGGGATTGCAAGTGTTGCTGGTGGATGAGTTGCCGATGGAATTCCATTGTGATTTGCAACTGTAGGATCGTTCCCGCAATGTAAATGGGATTGCAAGTGGTGCTGCTGGATGAGTTGCCGATGGAATTCCATTGTGATTTACAACTGTAGGATCCTTCCCGCAATGTAAATGGGATTGCAAGTGGTGCTGCTGGATGAGTTGCCGATGGAATTCCATTGTGATTTGCAACTGTAGGATCCTTCCCGCAATGTAAATGGGATTGCAAGTGGTGCTTGTGGATGAGTTGCCGATGGAGTTTTGAAGGAAGTCTCGCACGAAATGCGTTTTTTTCTCCATTTTGGCGCTAGTGATTTTCCTTCTAAAAATCCTTTTAAAAAGTGCTTCAAAATCGTCTTTTTTTCGCTCTGGCGTCGAGATCCGGTTTTGGAGCTACAATTTCCGACGCCGTTGCGCGTAGTTCTATCGTGCTTTGCAACTCAGTCTCTGCAGATCGCATTGTAATGGCTGCGTCAAGGTTGCTTCGTGCTGTGGCTGCATTCGTACTACTATTGTCTTTTGCAGCTGGACTTCGTAAATCGTATTGGAGTGGCTGCATGAAGGCTGCCACAGTGATTTGTCAGCAGATTTTCTCCATTTTGGCGCTAGTGATTTTCCTTCTAAAAATCCTTTTAAAAAAGTGCTTCAAAATCGTCTTTTTTTCGCTCTGGCGTCGAGATCCGGTTTTGGAGCTACAATTTCCGACGCCGTTGCGCGTAGTTCTATTGTGTTTTGCAACTCAGTTCCCGCAGATCGCATTGGAATGGCTGCGTCAAGGTTGCTTCATGCTGTGGCTGCATGCGTAATACTATTGTCTTTTGCAGCTGGACTTCGTAAATCGTATTGGAGTGGCTGCATGAAGGCTGCGACAGTGATTTGTCAGCAGATTTTCTCCATTTTGGCGCTAGTGATTTTCCTTCTAAAAATCTTTTAAAAAGTGCTTCAAAATCGTCTTTTTTTCGCTCTGGCGTCGAGATCCGGTTTTGGAGCTACAATTTCCGACGCCATTGCGCGTAGTTCTCTTGTGTTTTGCAACTCAGTCTCCGCAGATCGCATTGGAATGGCTGCGTCAAGGTTGCTTGGTGCCGCGGCTGCATGCGCAATACTATTGTCTCTTGCAGCTGGACTTCGTAAATCGCATTGGAGTGGGTGCATCAAGGGTGCGACAGTGATTCGTAGTAGTGCTGGGAATTGGTTAATGAAAGCTTAATAGATGACATATGAGAAGGGACGAGATGAGAAGAGATGAGGTGGGATAAGGTGAGAAGAGCTCAGATGAGATGAAATGTGGAGTGTGAAGAGTGCAGTGTGAAATGTGTGGGGCGTGAAGAGTGCAGTGTGAAGTGTGGAGTTTGGAGTGTGAAGGAAACAGTGAGAAGTGAGAAGTGTGAAGTGTGGGCTGTGAAGTGTGGAGTGAGAAGTTTGGAGTGCAAAAGAGTGCAGTGTGAAGTGTGGAGTGTGAAGCGTGAAGTTTGGAGTGTGAAGGAAGCAGTGAGAAGTGTGAAGTGTGGACTGTGAAGTGTGAAGTGTGAAATGTGGAGTGTGAAGTGCGAAGTGAGAAGTGTGAAGTGTGAAGTTTGGAGTGTGAAGGAAGCAGTGAGAAGTGAGAAGTGTGAAGTGTGAGTGAAGTGTGGAGTGAGAAGTGTGAAGTTTGGAGTGTGAAGTTTGGAGTGGGAAGGAAGCAGTGAGAAGTGAGAAGTGTGAAGTGTGGACTGTGAAGTGTGGAGTGTGAAGTGCGAAGTGAGAAGTGTGAAGTTTGGAGTGTGAAGTTTGGAGTGTGAAGGAAGCAGTGAGAAGTGAGAAGTGTGAAGTGTGGACTGTGAAGCGGGAAGTGTGAAGTGTGGAGTGTGAAGTGCGAAGTGTGAAGTTTGGAGTGTGAAGTTTGGAGTGTGAAGGAAGCAGTGAGAAGTGAGAAGTGTGAAGTGTGGACTGTGAAGTGTGAAGTGTGGAGTGTGAAGTGCGAAGTGAGAAGTGTGAAGTGTGAAGTTTGGAGTGTGAAGGAAGCAGTGAGAAGTGAGAAGTGTGAAGTGTGGACTGTGAAATGTGAAGTGTGAGGTTTGGAGTGTGAAGTGTGAAGTGAGAAGTGAGAAGTGTGAAGTGTGGACTGTGAAGTGTGAAGTGTGAAGTGCGAAGTGAGAAGTGTGAAGTTTGGAATGTGAAGGAAGCAGTGAGAAGTGAGAAGTGTGAAGTGTGGACTGCGAAGTGTGAAGTGTGAAGTGTGGAGTGTGAAGTGCGAAGTGTGAAGTGTGGAGTGTGAAGTTTGGAGTGTGAAGGAAGCAGTGAGAAGGAGAAGTGTGAAGTGTGGACTGTGAAGTGTGAAGTGTGGACTGTGGAGTGTGAAGTTTGGAGTGCGAAGAGTGCAGTGTGAAGTGTGGAGTGCCAAGTGTGGAGTGTGAAGACTTTGCTTCGTCTCTCGTTGAAAAAAGAAGCCGCTTGTCGAGGGAAGGACACAGTCGGGACAGGCTGGCGTCGAACTATAGGTCATTTATTCTTGGGAAACTTCCGCCGCCGGCTTGCCCGGGTCTATGTTAGTTGCATCTTGCAGCATGGAGAAATTGGATGTGACTCATCAGGTAGTGATGCGCAACATCAACCTGATTGTCCAGAAGCAGCCCAACATGCTTCAGACCGATGTGAGATATTTCGTCTGCAAGTACAACGATCCCCTCTATGTGAAGCTGGAGAAGATAGCAGTCATGGTTGGGGCCCGAGTTGACCCCAAGTGAGGATGGTGGAAGCAAGTTGTGTAAGTACACTTGGTGGCTCACCCCAGTCCATAAGCGGCTTGTAACCCTATTTGTAAATTAATAGGTTAAATCGGGTTAGTCCAGTTATAGCTGGGACTATCCACCGACCAACTGGGGTGAAGCACCAAGCAGCTTAAGCAGCTTCGCCAGTGATTTGGAGAATGTGGGTCTGGTGGAAAAATGGGGAATACATCAAAATGGCAGATTTTCACAATGGTGGTTAATCATCATTTTAGGGTATATACAACAAACCCATCTATCTATCTATCTATTTATCTATCTATCTATCTATCTATCTCTCTCTCTCTCTATCTACATATACGTATATATATATATGTATATGTATATGTATATGTATATGTATATGTATATGTATATGTATATGTGGTTACACTATTCAGGATATTGGGGATTGTCATACAGTCCTCCGTGATCTGAGCACCACCCAACTAACACTTCAGCTAGAGGTCCAGTTGGCTTCTGAGAGGAACATCGACCAAGTTCTTTCGGAGTTCCGAGAATATGCGTCGGAGGTTGTGGGGGAGGGCCGGGCTTGGATGTTCAAACTTGTTTCTGCACTTGGAAAGATGAAGAGTTACAATCATGTCTCCAAAGAACCGAATCACATGGCACACCATGAGGCCATGAGGATGGATTGCACATCTTGAGAGGACTATGATTGTGCCTCAGGTACAAAGGCCCAAGCAGCTTAGTCATAGCCCTAAAGGGGGAGAGCTTCCAGGCCATAAACAACCAAAGAAGCAACCAGCTGCTCCCCAGATTCAAGATACAACAGGTCGGTAATCACACTGCAGACTTCTTAGACTTGTCTTTTTTAGCGTCAAACTTCCAGGAACTGGTGTTTTTCGGTGCACATGGATCATCACAGAAACAACCATCTCAACTTGACAGTTTCTCTTCAGATCTTTCCAGACACTCGCACGGCACCATGGTGCGGCGCCGGTCCCATGGAGGATCTGTGGGAGGAACTTGTCGCCCGCCCAGCCAAACGGCCGCGGACGCACAGTGGCCGGGTGTGTCCCGACTGCCAGCCGCTGCTGGATGCAACAGGCGGAGCCAAGTGGAAACGCTTTGCCATGTGCCCACACCGTTGGAGCGATCGAAAACGCTTTGGGAAGGTGAAAAAACAGAAGAAGGAGAAGAAACGGGCTGGAGTTTAGTGAAGGTTTCCTTTTTTAGCTGTTTTTTCCAGATTGGTTCGAAGAAGAATGGGATAGTGGATAAGTATGTCAGTCTGAGAATGAGGTAGCCTGGTATAGCCTGGTATAGCACCCAAACTGCAGTCTTAGTGGAGAAAATGGTGATAACATGTGAATCAACCTGTGGGATATTGTCAGAGAAACGGTTATCGTTTTGCATGGCGCCGAGGAAGAGCTACAGCCACATAGCCATGGTAAAGCGAGGCGAGAGACCAAAAATCAAACGAGTGAAATGGTTCCGTGGACGAATCTTGATCGTTTAGATGGAGCATGATGGAGCCAAGACCCGATTGCAAATGAAGGTTGGAGAATGTTGTACAATTATATACCCTCTGTTAAAGTAATGTAAATTCTCCATAGACCTGGAAAATCATTTTCCAAAGCCTCTATCTGCCAGGGGTCTATGTTAATCTACTGGAGGGTGTTTTAAGAAGTCTAATATCCATATCATCATAAAGATTCATAAAGAGTGATAAACAATGATATCCCATTCATCATGTACTGGTACAACTTAGTTGAGAGATCTTTTGTGTGGTGACGGATTTGAGCTTTCCAACCAAAAGGATTGGGATATGTACCATGCATCCCTTATAAAGGTCACATTTTGGAGCTTCAAAGATCACCTTCCGAAGGTTACTGGTTGGTGGTTTCAAGCATTTTTTCCAGAATATATATATATATATTGGATAATCCTTCCGATTGACTAATATTTTTCAGATGGGTTGAAACCACCAACCAGGTTAGATATGGGAATGGGTCTGAGTCTATCATACAGCGTCGATGTCCAAGTCCACTGAGGTTGGCACGATGTCATCATGGCCTTCGCGAAAGAAACTGCGCGCAGTGCCACGGCTGCGAACATGGCAAACTTCGCTTCCGCTGCCCCGAGTGTAGAGAGAAGTGTCCACATGGGCAATTTGTGCGGCGCCTGACTTAGTTTGAGATGTGAGATGCCATGAGAGATGGGAACGTCTTTGGTTGTTTTGTTCACTGGTTCTCATCTGGTTCTCCACCGTTGGTTTCGGTGCTTGGATGTTTGGTGCATTGTGGTCCTCTGTTTTCAAGGCATTGAACCAGAGAACTTGCCCTCGGATAGTGAAATATAGCGAATATAGCTGTGGAAAGTTGCCCATTTCGATGATCTACGTCTACGTATCAAACACAGTGATTTTCCATAGCTATATGGTTGCTATATATGTTATATCCCAAGAGAACTCATGTCGTTTTTCGGTGTTGAAAGCCATGCCACGCCAGGCACTGCCGCATTTGCTCGGGCTGTGACCATGGAGTGCTCCGAGACGCCTGTAAGCTGTGCCGTGGATGCTGCAAGCATGGTTTGATCATGTCGGCGTGCAAGGAGTGCAACGCTTGTCCGCACGGCCGCCTCAAATGGGGCTGCAGACTTTGTAGCCAATGTCCTCATCAGCGCCTGCGGCAAAACTGCCCTGAGTGCAGAGGATGTCCTCATGGGAAAGTGCGGGAGCATTGTATTCAGTGCAATGTGTGCAAGCATGGACTGCACAAGTTTAGTTGTAGAATATGCAATGGATGTCCCCATGGGAAGCTTCCTCGCTTTTGCAACGAGTGCAAGCCATGTCCACATGGGAAAGACAAAGCGCATTGTCAGGAATGTGCAGGGTGTCCACATGGAAAGTTGCCTCACAACTGCAAACATTGCAGTGGCTGCATACATGGCCGGGTGAAGCGTTTTTGTCCAGACTGCAACCCATGCCCTCATGGGAAGCGAAAGCAGACCTGCTCTGACTGCAATACCTGTGAGCATGGCAAGCTTCGCGACTCTTGCAATGAATGTCATGCTTGCCCCCATGGCAAGATACGGCGCTTTTGTGTCACTTGCATTCCATGCCCGCATGGCAAGCTGAAGCAGGCCTGCCCTGAGTGCAAGGCATGTGAGCATGGCAAGATTCCCAACTCTTGTGCTGTTTGCAACGGCTGTCCGCATGGCAAGGTACGTCGTTTCTGCGGTGAATGCAACCCATGTCCTCATGGCATGCCCAAACAGAAGTGCCAGCAGTGCCACTCCTGTGAGCATGGCAAACGCCGTGCGGCATGTCCCAAGTGCAACGGCTGCCCCCATGGCAAGCTCCGGCGCTTGTGTGCCATTTGCAATGACTGTGGACATGGGAAACTCGCCTTCAACTGTGGCATTTGCAAGGCCGCCAAGATGGCGTCCACGTCGGTAGCATAGCAATGCATAGCATGTCTTGGATGCGCTAACATAGTCATAGATTTTAAACCTGCAGTCACCAATGCTGTCATCACTTGACTTGCTTTGACATTCACTTGAACAACAGTTGCTTCACCATGTCACGATGTGTCACTTCCGGCGCATCCAGTATGGCACGTGACGCTGCTCGCCGCAGTGTGGACAGAAGCTGCGGTGAAATCCTTGTAGCTGGGCCCCCCGCAGGGAACACGCAGGATTTCCTGTCACATTCCACGTTACCAACGTCCAAAATCGCCCGAAGGGAGCGGACTGTAGGGAGTGGTGACCATGGACCAAGAAAGCGCATGATGCCATTGTCATCAGAAACATACTGTCACATCATGTTAATCATGTTGTTATCTTAATTTTATAATGATACAGTACACATTGATAACGCGATAAAACCAAAGCTATAAAACCGTCTTTATATCATCATCATATATCTCTGATTCGTTATATTATGTTATTATAATAATATATGGCTGGTCTATTCCCATGACATCTCCTAGTACATGATAATTTTAATAGCGCCACTTAGCGTCACTCACCATGCCAGCCATTGCGAGGTGGATATCACCGTGGTGCGGCATTCAGTGCGAGCCATTGGGCAGGTGCGGACCGTTACACCAGGGTTGAACCTGGGTTACTCATCAGTTACTAATGTGGTACCCTCCAGCAAATTATAGTATATGAATATGAAATAATATGAATGTATATGACATAGCTTCAGAAAATGGCTAAGATTTAGTGAAATGATATTTATCCATATGAAAAATGATGATTTCCTATGTTAGTTTACCACGCAAACCCAAAAAATAGTACCATCCCTAAACCAAGCGAGGCATCATATTTCTACATCATCCCAGTCGGGGTATATCCCCAATTTTAGCATGGGCTTTAAACCGTACCGAAATGGGAGATTTATATAGATTTATTACATTCAGCTTACCACATTATGACCCCCACCATATAATTATTCAGAATTTTGAGAGGGAACATGATCATAAATCATGAATCTTGAGGGTGTATCCCATTGTAGACAGACCCACTTCCCTATTCAAGAAATTCGAACGAGGCACAGGTTTTCAAATGGGCTGAAACTCCAAAATGAGCAATCAATCCAACAAGATGTTAAATGTGTGGTCCTACAGCATCTCAATTTTGCATTTTGTGATCCACACCGCCTCATGTTGGGGGTATGTTGGGCACATCTTGGCTCTATGTTGGGCCGTGTTGGGCCCATGTTGGGCCATCCTGGGCCTATGTTGTACCCACATTGATGGAAATCTAATCAACAAATCGTAAACCCACATGTTTTTTTTTTTGAGGGTTGTGGGCTCCCATTTTCTGTGAGACATTTTTGCCATGTCTCCAAATGGAGAGGGCCGGACATTGGGGAGCAAAGATGTGGTCTGGTTTCGGTTATGAAATGTACAATATAGATTTTACGAAAGCCAGCCGAAGGCTTAGGCCGGAGGGTCTGTATAAGGCGAAGCTATGGGCCCAACATAGGCCCAACATGGCTCAACATGCCTCACCATAAGGCCAATATAGGCCCAACATGGGCACAACATAGGCCCAGGATGGCCCAACATGGGCCCAACACCGCCCAACATAGAGCCAACATGTGAGCCCTGCGCACAAACCACAGTCACAGTTTCTTTACAACAACAGCAGCATTATATTTTCATATTTCCACTTGATCCAAATCGGCGCAGCATTTCACATCTGGGGTGTTTCGGTGCTTCCCATAAAGTGGAGTATCCGGTAGCCTTGTCACCTCTGGTGTCCCTTTCTTAACGAGTTCACATTGACGAGGCAGCCATCAAGATTGACCGCGCAGCGGAGCGCTGTGTGGACTGCTTGCTGGAGCTGATCAAGACCAAGGTGGTGTAGCCGGGAATGTGGCGATATCAGTTGGACAGGAACTATATCCGGGATATATGATATACATATATAAATTTATATAACCATATATATTTATATATATATATACACGTATATAATACTATATATATATATATATCTGTACATATGATATATATATATATATATAAATGGATATACATATACATACATATCCTAACTGGGATATCTGGGATGCACCCGCAAGTACGTTGAATGGGACAGAGTGGGACAATCAATGATGAAGTACATGGTTTACCAGGCTATTACAGGATATTGATTTGGCTTTGCCCAAAAATAGGTCACCCCTCTCTGGGAAACCTCTCGGAATATATTCTCAGGACCCCCAAAACGCACATCCAAGAAACAGTTTTTTAAATTGTATTTCTACCAGAAAGAATGGTTATTTATTGCTCAAGTCATAAACCATTCATATCTCAATTGATAAGTGGTTCAAAACCAATTGGTCGCAACATATTTCCAGTAATCTCACCATACACTGGCTATATTAGTTAAGATACAACCCATTCATATTGCCCCATGACTATCATGATTAATGGTTGCATATGGTTGCTATGCAACATATCAATCCAACGGCGATACAAACATCATCTCCCAGGTGAACTATGTGGTGCAGGAGGCCATCGTGGTCATCCGCGACATCTTCCGGAAGTATCCCGGAAAGCGCCTCGCTTGCGACGCGCTGGGATGAAGAACTTATTGGTGACCCACAACCGCCACAACCGAAAGGTTCATTGATTCAATAGGCAAAAGGACTCCAACATAGTCCTTTCGATTAAAGCTCAAGTATACTGTGATTTCTGCATGTTGGTTCCTAAAAGGGGATGGCAATGTGAGGAAATGCTGCACCCGCCCTTCGGGTTTCAGTGCCAGCTTCTACTGAACTGTAGGTATGAGATCATCATTTCCGATCTCTGCGAAAACTTGGACAGTCTGGATGAACCTGACGCCAAAGCTGCCATGATTTGGATCGTGGGTGAGTATGCCGAAAGGAGCCCGGCTGGGTGACATATGGTGACATGCACATGTGTGAGATTTGCCGGTGTCCCTATTGACCAAAAAACGGAATTGGCGGAACAATTGTCACTAGAAACTCGGAATCAGGGCAAAGATGGTGAAAACAGTGGTGCCATTCAATTCTCCAGTTTCTTATCAGGTCCTGACTTAGTTTGTTTCGTGCTCATGTCATTGCATTTTTATTGTGTTGATGTTGGCAACAGCCATATTGCTGTCATTCCGGCACTTCTTGCTAATTCTTTGTTATTGGCAATTAATTTTTTTTGTAATTTTGGTACCTAAAGACTGGTAATGCGCTGTTACTTTCGCTTCTTTTAGACATATTTTTCTTATCTACTTGGGATGATCCTCAAATCGACATAAATCGACCAATATTATTTCAACATATTTCAGCGAACCATATTTGTCAACATATTTCAACCATATTTGGGCTGGGTTGAAACCACCAGAAGTCAGGATCGACAACAGCGGTGAGCTGCTCGAGTCCTTTCTGGAATCCTTCCATGAGGCGTCGCGGGAAATCCTGGAAGTGGGGGCATGATCATGAGGCATATAATGGGGATATAAATGGGATATATGATATGGATGATATGGTTTATGATATTACTGGGATATTGCAATACTAATAGGATTTACATGGATTTACTAAGGTTGGGTGTATATATATATATATATATATACACATACATATTTCAGAGCAGACGCTCATCGTCGGCTCCGCTAGATTACTTGACCCTCGATGTCATCGCAGGGTGGGCTTGAAAGCTATTGAATGATGACCTGCTGCTTCAGAAATATATTCCATGCTTTTTTGAACATGTTCATGGAATCATGGAACAGCGGTTTTTTCTTGGAGCAAGTAAGGAAGGCTTGTTCCCGAAAGCTCCTGCGAAGAGGTTTTCCTAGAGAATTGCTGCCAATTTCACCTTTCCACCTCATGTAAAAACGCCTCTGTGTAGACTTCTCTGTTTAAAAACTTCTGTGTGTAAAAGCTTCTGCGTGTAAAAGCTTCTCTGTGTAAAGATTTCTCTGTGTAAAAACTTCTGTGTGTAAACGCGCATGTCTAAAAGCTTCTCTGTGTAAAGGCTTCTCTGTGTAAAAACATCTGTGTGTGAAAGCTTCCGTGTGTTAAAGCTCTCTGTGTAAAGACTTCTTTGTGTAACAGCTTCTGTGAGTAAACGCCCTTGTGTGTAAAAGCTCCTCTGTGTAAAAGCTTTTCTGTGTAAAAGCTTCTGTGTGAAAAAGCTTCTGGGTGTAAAAGCTTCTGGGTGTACAAGCTTCTCTGTGTAAAGACTTCTCTGTGTAAAAACTTCTGTGTGTGACTTCCCTGTGTAAAAGCTCTCTCTGTAAAGACTTCTTTGTGTAAAAGTTTCTGTCTGTAAACGCGCCTGTCTGTAAACGCGCCTGTTTCTGTCTGTACACGCAAATGTGTGTTAAAGCTCTCTGTGTGTAAAAGCTTCTGTGTGTAAAGGGGTCTGCGTGTAAAAGCTTCTGTGTGTAAACGCCCTTGTGTGTCAAAGCTCCTCTGTGTAAAGGCTTCTCTGTGTAAACGCTTCTGGGTGTAAAAACTTCTCTGTGTAAAGACTTCTCTGTGTAAAAGCTTCTATGTGTAAAGACTTCTTTGTGTAAAGACTTCCACCGTTTTGGCCCAACTTGCGGCCAGCCAGGCGCCAAAACACAAGTCATAGCCCTTATGCCGGTTTTTGCCATAGTTTTCAGCGCTATTAAATGTAGTTGTAGCAGTAGCAGTAGCAGTAGCAGTAGTAATAGTAGTAGTAGTAGTCGTCGTCGTCGTCGTAGTCGTAGTCGTAGTCGTAGTCGTAGTCGTAGTGGTAGTGGTAGTGGTAGTGGTAGTGGTAGTGGTAGTGGTAGTGGTAGTGGTAGTGGTAGTGGTAGTAGTAGTAGTAGTAGTAGTAGTCGTCGTAGAAGTAGTAGTCGTCGTCGTCGTAGAAGTAGTAGTCGTCGTCGTCGTCGTCGTGGTCGTCGTCGTGGTCGTCGTCGTTGTTGTCGTCGTCGTCGTCCTAGAAGTAGTCGTAGAAGTAGAAGTAGAAGTACTAGTAGTAGTAGTAGTAGTAGTAGTAGTAGCAATAGTAGTAGTAGTAGTAGTAGCAGCAGTAGTAGTAGTAGTAGTAGCAGTAGTAGTAGTAGCAGTAGCAGTAGCAGTAGCAGTAGTAGGAGTAGCAGTAGCAGTAGCAGTAGCAGTAGTAGGAGGAGTAGTAGTAGTAGTAATAATAGTAGTAGTAGTTGCAGCAGCAATAGCTGGACCTGGTTGAATACTGGCAGGACATGCAAGGGAAAGAGAGCAACGCAGGCAAGTAGGAAGAAAGGAAGGAAGGTGGGGTGGTGTCTAGGAGGCTCTTCTTCCCTTGCGCGCTTCCCCTTGCTGTTGGGGGTCGGCGGATATATATGACATGAATGGTATATGATATATATATATAGTATATTATAGTACTTTATAACATCAGAATTAATGAATTTCTTATAATATATATATATATACTGGATTCAAATGGGATATTTAACCAACAATATTTAATTATGTGGGTGTGTCTGAAAATGAGTTATACCCCAAATTACGGCAATTTTTCATAGGGGACATGATGATAGCCCACTGGAAGTTGGGGTATCCTATGGTATCTCATTTTCAGACAAGCCCAAAGAAATGGGCAGATACAACCGATTATAACCGTTATAACGGGATGATGTCAGCAATTGGATCTACTATCGGTGGTTCGAACATGGGGCACCTGACAAAACTGCCATTTGATGGTCAGGTGCTGATTCCCTCTCGCGTGATCCAAAGAAAATTGAAGGTAGTAGATACTCTTGATCCCTTAAAATATGCAGGCAATTGTAGATGCACAACATCTCACTCTCTCTGTCTCTCTATACATGTATATATATATATAACACATATCTACATGTCAACATGTATCATATCCTACATATATCTACTAATATGGACATCCACTAGACCTATCTCAAAACATCATAATCACGGCTGTTGCATCCAGGAGCCTGCTTCAGTGCAACACCAGATCCTCACCGCCACAGTGAAGATGTTCCTGAAAGTCCCGCAGGCCGTGGCCCGTCACAGATTGTCACAGATTGTACCAGAAACATCATTGGATTGGTTTATGGGAAAATCGACAAAGCGGAAAGCCAGGTTTTTTCATTCACCCTGAGGTTTTCATGTAAATATTCCCTTAAATCAATCCAATGACACTTTCACCATCCAAAATAAGGACCAGAAATGAAGAGTCCCCACAAAAAATGTCCTGAAATGACAAAAAAAACACTTGAGTGAGAAATGGCCAAGAAAAAAACTGAGTGAACTTCTGAGTTGTAACATATTATAACATGTTATAACCATGTTTTTCTCAGCCCACTGAAGCCCGGTGACGGCACGGCAGTCGTCCAAGCAACTGGTGGGCCGTGTGCTGAAGCTCTGCACGGATGAGAGCACCAACCCAGATTTGCGAGACCTGGCGGCAAAGGCTTTGGTGGTGAAGGGTATCCATTGGTCTTTCATGAAACCTGTATCTAGTTGATTGCCGTTTAAGGAGAAATAGACCATGTTAAGACACAACCAAATGTATCTATGTAATTATGTATTTACATACATGTGTAATTATTAATGGTTAGTTGCATGTTGTTGTTATAGTCTATAGACATATCTGGAGATATGAATTGTAGCAACCACACTGCGACGTATCAGGTTGGTGAAATATATTGATTTAGCCAAGGATGATTTATTAATGATGATTAAATGATAACCATGATGGAACGGTCATTGTTGAGTTTTCCGAAAGAAACTGGTAGATTGTGATTCTTTCTGGATATTGATAGTGACCAATGGACGGGAAGTAAGGGGAGTCGTGGGCCCTATCAGACATGGTTTCTTCTGGGTTTGGAAATTTGCCCGGAGAAATGGGAAAAGCAAGACATATGTAGAAGAACGGTCACTCTAACGGCTAACGATTGTGTAAGCCGCAGAACAAGGAGAAGAAAGGAAGTTCGGGGGCCATTGCCGTTGCTGGCTTCAAACTTGAAATAGGTTTTGTTTTTAGGTTTTTTCTTCCATCCCTAAAAATGACCTAGACCTATGGTATGACTTGCTTCCATCCGTGGGGTACTTTTTCAGCCCCTCCAAGGAGACAGGGGCTATATGTATTGGAGGACAGCTCAGACTCGATTTGAGAGTCCATCACCGCCAGCTTTTCAGTGCATTCCCTTTCCATCCTTTAATAAACTTGAAACTGCAAAATAAGACTTGGATTTGCTGAGTGATTTGGTACTGTAAATGTTCCCAGTGGCAAGCAGACGCATTTGGAGTAATATGTCGTATATTTTGTGGTTATTCAACATATTTTTGCTATATGTCTATTTTGTGGTTATTCAACATATTTATGCTAAATCATCATAAATCATCATTAAAACAAATAGGTAAATAGAGGTAAGTCATTCATTACATGGACCATTTCCAGCCGGCAGGATGCTCAGCAAGTCTCCAGAGGTGGCGAAGCAGGTGGCTTGGCCGCTTCGCGTCCGCTGGATGGATTTCTGTCCGGTAACGATCAAAAAGAGATGGAAAAACCTATGGTTTCCCCAGGAAATCACCTATAAACCATCATGAACATGCTGATTTTTCATGCTGATGTCTTTTCCGTATGTCAAAGAGGCAGGATCGGATACTCCCGGTTTTTACTACACAAAAATCCATGGGAAAATCCATGATTTGTAGATCATTTTCCAAGGTAAACCCTACAGCGGGGGAAGCTACTGGCATTTTTGGTCGGGAAACTGCCACAGTTCTTTGAGTGTGGCTTAATCTTGAAAAAAAGCTCTGGATGGTGATATATGGTGATGCAAGATATGAGCAATTTTTTTCCTTATCATTCAGGATGTAGTTTTTTGGGGTTGCTTAAAATTCATCTGGTTGGTGGTTTCAAACATTTTTTATTTTCCATAATACATGGGATAATCCTTCCCATTGACTTTCATATTTTTCAGAGGGGTAGGTATACCACCAACCAGTCATGGTTTATCCATGTTTATCCCAATTTTTCCACACCCATGTGCCGATTTTGGCAGGTGGTCCTCAGCGAAAGGCCCACCATCAGCGAGAATCCCTTCGTGGGGACACCTGGAAAACCGAAGGCCACATCGCGACGTTCCTGAGCTCCGAGATTTACGGAGAAAAAACATGGGAAAATCATGGGAAGAGCTTGAGGAGCTCCAGTTTCTCAGGGAAATCATGGGAAATATGGCAAAATCATGCAAAACCCAATGGTTTGTCATCATTGTCACAATGTAGGTAGGGGGTAAATGCACCATTTTCAGACCCACATGTTTTTTTCGACCATTGCCATTCATAATAAATCTGTATGTATGTGGATAACAGGAAATTCGTTGGACTGCATGTACAGGATGGACTGTGCAAAGATTCTTTTCTAGATAGATACCCAACACATACACAACATTCTTCTCACACTTTACAATATATGATAATATAATAATATATGTTTTT